AATGAATGAACAAATGAGTCAGAGACATGTTCCTTGTTGCAAAAGGGTACAGTGGAGCCATTCACAGAGCTAAAGGCAGGTGAGTGTACTCAACTTAGAAATGACTAGAGCTGCTGCCTGGACATCACCTGATCAGAGCTGGCTCCCACCCACCTTAGCAGCTAGACCAGCACTGGCTCAAGTGACTGCTAACATTAACGATTTGCTGCGGCATAGAATAGTGTACAATTAGAAGGCATCTCCCCAAATGCAATTCTACCCTGAGCCCCACAATGTGATCTTCCCTTTTTCTTTCAGTATCTTAAGTTCTCTATTGCTCCTTACACAATAGGATAGGTAATACCATGCCATTTAAAGAATAAGAAGCAAGCATTCTTGCACGTACTTGTCAGCCCACAACCGGCAATACCAAGACCTCAGAAGCCTCCTGAGCCCCCACGAAAGCTCTCCCCTCTCCCACAAAGCAAGTCCTATTCTGAATTATATACATATTGTGCCTTTGTTCTTCTTTTTGCCACATATGTGTGTGTCGCTGAACAACATATGTTCTTTTGTTGTGCTTCCTTTTGATCTTTATATGCAGAATCATACTCTGTTTATTCTTCTGTGACTTTTTTTTTCACTCAACCTTGAGAATCATCCACATTGATGCACAGACACAGGTAGACGCTGGTAGTTTATTTTTCACTGCTGTATAGTATTCCATTGAAGGACTAGACCATAATTAACTTAGACATTCTCAGTGGGCATATGGGTTTCTCTAGTTTTTTGCTTATGCATATTTCCTGGTTCCCATTTGCAGTAGGGATGGAACTACTGGAGTCCAGGGTGGGCCCATCATTCAGTAGGCAATGCCAAATGGGTACCAAAGCACAACTGGCATTGTACCAACTTAACAGTCCCACCAGTGTGGAGGAGAGGACCTTCTGTGCCACATCCAAACCTCCATGCTAGGTACTGCCATTATCTGTATATTATCATTATTATTATTACTTCCCTTATCCCCTAACCACCTCCCAAAGCAACCAGCCAGCCTGCCCCACATATGTACTCATCCCCTCTGATGTGGTCATGGTATGTTTCAGATGTGTACATACCCATGAAATGTACACGATGCTGTGTGAGAAGTAATTTCCTAACAGCATGCATTTCCTGTATGTAAATAGTACTGTGCCAGACAGCTCATTCTGGTGTTTCTGGTTGTTTATTTGTTTTTTTTTTAACTCAAGTATAGTTGATTTACAGTGTTGCGTTAGTTTCTGGTGTACAGCATAGTGATTCGGTTATACACACACATATATATATTCCTTTTTCATGTTCTTCTTCATTGTAAGTTATTACAAGTTACTGAATATAGTTCCCTGTGCTGTACATACACAGTAGGACCTGGTTGCTTCTCTATTTTGTATAAAGTAGTTTGTATCTGCTCATCCCAAACTCCTGAGCACCTTCTGTTTTAGATTTTCTTTCACTCAACTCAATATTTTTTAAGACATGCTGACAGTGCTCCATATGTATTAGAGACAGAACAATACTGCATCTTTGAGATGGATCTGTTACTCTCATTTTACAGACCACGAGCATTCACCAGAGCTAAGCACTCAGCAGGGGCTGGGTGTATTACCTATAATAACTCACTGAATTCTCATGCTGACCCCAGGAAGCAGGCGCTTTCAATTCAGACAAGAGGAAACCCAGGCAGAGAGACGGAGGACCCGGTACAAGATCCCCGAGTTAGTAAATGATAGAGCAGAATTCAAATCGAGTCCTCGTACGTCAGCACCCTCACTCTTATCCACAGCATGAACCTAGCTAAGAGCAAGCGGCTCAGAGATTTGGGAACTAGCCTCCCTAAGCCACACAGCTGGTGATCCACGGGGTGGAACTAAAATTCAGACTGTTCCCCTCTCAGTCCTCGCCTGGGCAGTTCCGACACATGTAGCTGGTGAACTGGCAAAGGGAACTACTACAAAATGTGCTCATCGGGCAAAATGCACAAGATGTCACAACTCTTTAAAGCTGGAAACTTGACTCATCTGCTCACCCTCTTCATCTGGACAATGTGAGACCATGAAGCTATCAAAGTGGACCTCTTATGAGGAAATGCAATGATGCAAATTGAGAATGAGAATTCATGACCAAAATCCTTGTCAAATCCTAATAAAACGGATTTGCTAGTCTTCTTTCCCTTCTCAGGAGACGAGTCTGGGTCCACCCCTGGTGGTGAAAGGCACTACCCTTCTGCTCCGCGGTCACATGCCCTGAGCAGCTAAGAGCACAGTCGTGGGACACTTACCATAATTTCTACTATAAGAAAGTGCTTGGAAGGGCCAGCAAAGACAGACAAGTCAAAATGTGCTTAATGACTTACTATTACCACCAACAGAGAATAAGCTAAAAAATGTTTTTAAGGTTCTACTCATTTTCTTTGCAAATCAATTGCCACAACTGCTATATTATTTAAATCAAAAATATCATTATATTTCATATTTACCATCCTTCCTTTTTAAAGCTCTACCTATAAAAGTCACTTGTTCTAGCAGAAAAGAACTATGGGAAATTATGCAGAATACACTTCTTAAATACAAAAGGAACATTTCTTTCGTCCAGATTGGTCTATGGACAAATGTCAGGGATGCTAAACTCTTTATGGCGATCTCCCTGCACACCTGCGATGGGAAGCCACTTCCGTGGTGAATTCAAATCCTTTCCAGATGAGAAAAACATTTCTGTAGCAACGAGCCAAAGACAAACTCTTCCATTACCTACATTAACATGTCAAGTGCGACCGGTCCTGTGTCATTTGTAAGAACTTCCTCTCCCAGAAGTAAAAGCTGCATTCCTCAGCCCAGAACCAGAAACTTCTCAGCACAGAAAATCTACCGAAGAAATTCCCCAAATCGGGGCTTTTAAGGGAACGGTGGAAGGCAATCTATTTTTGCTGACTTCCTTGTCAAGGACACCAGTTTCATACATGGGAAAAAAACGAAGTCCAGGAAGAATTATGCAAATTCCAGTAGGTGGGGCTTGATAGATGTACAAAGGAAACAAATGTCTTTACTAGAATTCTCTCTACCTCTAAGTCAACATCAGCGATTGGCACCTGGACTCTAAACTGGCAGTTCATCTCCAAGAGACACAGAAGCAATCTGAGTCTAGATTTGTTTTGAAGAAACTCTCAGGGTCACATTTCTCAAAATTATCCTTCGCTTCTATTTCTGTTAACTGATATGAGGACAATCAGATAAATCAGATTTGAAAACATAGCTCACTCCTGAGATCAAATACAGGACGTTTGCACTAAACACATTTTCAGGACTACGTTTCTCAGCTTTGCCTGGCTGTTTGCACTTGATGAATTAACTTAAAAATCTTTGATAATTTCCTGCTGACTTGATCTTATCCTTCTGGTTGGTTAGGAACAAAATTCCAGTCAAAGAGGATTTCAGTTGTCACCACTCAGACTCTGAGGAACAGAAGATATTTCTTGTATCACCTTCCCTCCCCGACAGCTTTTATTTACGTCCTGCTGCTTCAAGGTCAACAAAGACTAAAAGGAGAACGCCCCCTCCCCCCATCTGTGTGCCGCACAGACACACTTACCAAAGGTGTCCCAGATAGTTCTGAAGAACCCTTATCACAGCCACAGGACGTCCCACTTGCATTTTTGTAGACATGACTACCAAGCCCCAATAAACCATCACACAGAAATCAAACGATGGTGTCCCCAGAGGCTCTGCCTCTCTCTGTCCCTGGATGAAATTCAGAACCCTCCACGGCCCTGGGACTCCCTGTATTTCTGACACTGCAGGAGCTCCCACGAATTTTAAAGGATGCATTTAAACTCATTACATCTAATGCCATTTTCAAAGCAATTAAATATATATGAATATGAGCTGCACATGGTACATAACACTTACCAAATATACTGCTTTTAAAATGTGTGAATGTGTGTGTGAGTGTGTGTGTGTGTGATTTCGGAGGGCATTTTATGTTCTAGTCCCCCCGCAAAAAGGTAAACTTCTCAATACCATAAACTTTCCTCTCCTTTAATAAGCCACTTCTCATTTTCAATAAATGTTTTAGGTAAAGCATATAAATTAGGGAAACCTCCCAGGCCATGTGGGGAAATGAATTAATACAGGGAAAGTCAAACACTGGCAGTGGAGTGAGTCAGCTGGACCAGCGTGGACGGCAGAGCCCATCAGCACGGGTGCACACAGCCTGTCTGGATTATGCAGCCCAAGCCCCAACTTCTTCTGCAACTTTTATTTGGGTCAAGTATCCGAAAACCATCACTTCATTTCCTCCTGGTGGCTGTGACCACGTGGACATACAGTACTGAGGGGCTTCCCTGCGGGCAGGAGGTCCTTGGCAGGAGCCCCACTTCCCCATTCTCTCACATCCAGAGCGCCCCGCCCGCTGGGAAGGGCTGTCACTGAGCAGGTGTGAAGCGACAAGGCGCCGAAGTGTCGGCATGCCCCGATAAATTGATGGCGGAGCGTCAGAAACCCCATCGCTCACCCTCCCGTCTCTTCCTAGGTCACCCGGGAAGCATGAAGGAGACGGAATTAGGACAGAAGTTGGAGACTTTGGATGTGGTTTTAGATGTAAACTTGGGGGTCAGCGATCTTTTGTCTGCAAAGACCCAGAGAGTCAATACTGTCAGCTTTGAGCCATGTGGTCTCTGTTGAGATGACTCAACTTGCCAGGACAGTGTGAAGGCAGCCCTAGACAGTATGTGATGAGACTGGGCGATGAAATCTAAATTTTGTATCATTTGCATGCTTTAGGAAACATTAGTCTTCCTTTGATTTTTTTTCAACCAATGAAAAACATGAAGACCATCTTCTTAGCTCCAGGACTGTATAAAAACAAGACTGTATTGGCCCGCGGCTGTGGTTGGCTGAGCCCTGCATTCACCAAGAGCGAGGCAGGTGTCTGTGGAAACCAGCGCAGGGGGAAGCCAGGGGTAGCTTCCTGGCTGAGATGGAACCTACCTTGATATGAGCTGCTGGGTCCGGGACAGTCTGAATCATGTCCCTCAGGAGGCCAACTGAGTCAGCATCCGCTCAGAACCTGAGTCAGCTGGGAGACACAAAGGGGCAAGACAAACAGTAATAAACAACCACGTTTCTGTTTTGTTTTCCATTAGAACTGAACACAGCACACCCATGGTGAAATAATCCCAGGTTCCACATTTAAATGTTTGTCTTTAGATATGCATAGTAAATGAAGTGACTAGGAAACCCTCTCCTCCCCTGTTGGGACTATCACTTACTTTCAGTCCCCCAAACCCTAATATGACAGGCCCCCCAAAATCCAAGTCAAATACAGTTCACACACATCATTTTACATGGGCAGCATCTTTGAGTGATTGTTTAAAGGAAGAAACGAGACCCCCAAAATGAAACATTTTCTATTATATTGAGAGAATTGGACTTTTGAAGTTTCTATCAAAGCTAATGCCTTCTACACATCTTTCAGCTTCATAATTAAGCTCTTAATAAAAAGCACAACTACTGTACACTGAGTGCTTAAGTGGCAGCCCCTGGGCTGAGGACACCATACACATTTCTCATTTGACCCTGACTGCCACTCTGAGCCTTCTCATTCCCATTGTCCAGTTGGGGACATGGACACCCAGGGAGGTCACTCATTTGTCCAGGATCCCCCGGGTAATGAGCAACAGAGACAGGACTCAAGTCAGACTGGCCTGACTCTAAGAAATTTTGGCTTGACATAATTAACAGGTTTTACCCAGTATTTTGAAGATATTTTAATTCATTTAAATTTAAAGGTGCCCATACTCTAGGGATAAATACTTCATCCAATATATTCCTTAATTCAGATTCTAAACCAGTGTGTTCTGGTTCTTGTCTGTCTGCCCCACCCCATCTCCACCTCCCACCCCCGCCCCCACCCTGCACTATCCCCACCAGGGCTGACCCCTGCCGGCTGCCTCAGCTGAGCTCCGGTTAGGTTTGATCAATGCGACACCATCTGGAGATCAGGGAGCAAGAGGAGAGAAGGACAGGGCTATTTCTTCCCTACACCTTCCCTCCACCCACGGGAGGCTCCCTCCATGTTTGGCCACAATCTGGATTCCCTGGTGACCTCCCCCATCCTCAGGACCCACCCCCAGGGCTCCGGGCTCCAGTGACCACTCCCCAACCAGTCTTTGGTTCTCTGTAGATCTTAGCCACCAGTTGTTGTTTTCTGGCACTGAAAATACCTCTTCTAATTTATATTTTTTAAGGTATCATCACTTTTTCTCAATTAACTATTATTTTTTTGGTGTTTTCTGTTTCTTCTTCGTAAATCTAGCCCATGCCTCTTAGCAGGAGTAAACCGCAAGATAAAAATACACATCTTCACTACAGGACTGCAGACACAAAGGCTGACTCTCAGGTTTGTTGCCGAACACCTGCTCCCAGGGACATGCTCGAGCACTCGCAGGCATCCCAGGTACCTCTGTGTTCTGGGCTTTTCCACCCTCTTACGGTGCAAACACACCCACTTCCAAAGTAGACGGGCTTCTCAGGGGGGCCTTCAGCTCCAGGTCTG